AAAAAAAAAAAAAAAAAAAAAAAGAAAGGAATAATAATAATAAAATGACACGAAACGTACACCATCTTCCGCGATTCGCGCCCTCTTTTTTCGTTTGAAAACGGTCAGCGGGCAATCGTGGATCGCAGTCGCAATGCCAGACGCCGTCGATATACCGGCCCCGCCACGATGCGCTCCGTCGAGGAGACTGTTGTGCTGCGTTTTCCCGAATCATTGCATCAGGTTATAGGTGAGCGGTCTGACCACATTATTGTCGTAGGTAATAGCTATATCGCGTTCTGATGTCAAGAGGTTGAAGCTCTCTGGAAGTCGCTATGGAAACTGCAAGCGCCAGAGCAGGCATGCGCCCCACCGGATCGGCTGGTGGGGTTTTAGCGGCCAGGCTAGTACATATTCGGGAGGCTTTGATATCCTCCAAAAAGAGTAATTAGATCAACAATTTCAATTACATGCTTCTTTTTGAAGGATAATGTTCGCCGTCGACCTGAATACTATGACACAATTATTACTGGAAAGCTAGTTAATATTGTCGGGGACAACGAAAAAGAAAAAAAAAGATCCCCCCGTGCCTGGGAAATCGTGGAAAGTGAACTGTCCCCAGCGAGGTTCGAACTCGCGATCCCCGGATTGCATGCAATTGTTTTAGGAAGCAATTGCTCATATTCAGACACATGAGACCGATGCTCTAACCAGCTGAGCCATGGAGACATGGTTTAATCTGGGCGAAATTTTGACTCTACCAAGGTCACATATACAGAGCAATTACGATATTCTCTTATGTACAATTCACGACTTCGACAATACATCATGAATGCTGCGTGTCATCGCTCTGCGTGCTATCTGCGTTCTCTTCTCTAACTAAATGACTACGAACCGATTCAGGCACCCCAAGTGTGGGTGGAAAATACGTAGCGGCACTACTGGGAATATAGCGAGCTGAAGTCACAACTTCCTGACCTTGAGAGTGAGAAACGGATGGAGCGTTACTCGGTGAAACTGAATTCCCGTCGAGCTCATAAGCTTCTGGCATTGACGGAACTTCAGTCTTTCCGGGAGCTTCAGGCTGAAGGGTGAGGTTCATTAGCGACTCTGACAATTGCTCTGGCGATAAAAACGCCGGGGGATTTGGTGGTTGCGGTCGAGGTTGATGGATTGGCCCTGATTCAGGCTCATCTGAAGGCTCGTACACCACTGGCAGCGGCTGTGAGGGTGGTGCAGCCGATGAAATGTGATTGGAAACATCCTCCTGGGGTTGATCTTGCTCGCCTCGATGCATATGGGTGGGTGTTGCGGATCGGCTACTTGGTAAGCCTTGTTCCAAGTTCCCGGGAAGCTCAGTCGGTAGAGGATCATTGACCGGGGTAGAGAAAGCAGAATGTGATAGGTATGATGGGTCATACGAGGGCCTAGCCAATGCGAAAGGCTCGGTGTAGGGGGCAGAGGTCGCCGGTGGTTGTCTTGAAGTGATCGGCTCATCCACTGGAGCCGATTGCCTGGGTGACGAGCCTTTCAGAAGCTCCAGCACACGTCTCTTGCGTTCTGGGGATATTCCTGCGTTTGGCGCAAAGCCTATTTTGTCTGGAGACAAGCCGAACGAATCAGGCGAAAAACCATAATCCTGATTCATAGCCGAGGGCTCTGCGGTGATTAATGCCTGAAGAACATCCGGGTGTCCATAATATGCGGCATAGCGGACTGGCGGCCAACCTGTTTCGTCTTTACTCAACACCGATGCTCCGCGACTCATCAGAAGTGAGACGACAGGCAAGTGCCCTCCCTTTGCTGCCAAACAAAGAGGCGAATCTTCATACGATCGAGCACCAAAGCGGAGATGCAATGGAGACCCAAAGTCCAACAAGACCTCCACAGCAGCGGCATGGCCATTTCTAGAGGCTACGCATAATGCGCGATCGCCAATTGCGTCTCGAGCCTCGAGAGATGCGCCCTGTTTACATAGCAGCTTCACCAACCTAACTGAGCTTCCCGCGGCGGCGATGTGAATTGGCCTTTGTTGTGTTGGCTCCACCTGACTCTCGACCTCTGCCCCGGATATCAAGAGCAATTGTACAATATCAAAGTTGTCTGCCCTGCAGGCATAGTGCAGTGGACTCAAACCAGACATGCATCTTACTTCCAAGGGGCAACTCTTGCGCACAAGGAACTCGACGACAGGAAAGCAAGAATTCATCGTGGCGAGATGCAGAGGTGTTCTACCCTGTGAATTTTTCAACATCAGAGAACTGCGTAGCTGGTTAAATAAGAAATGAACCACCTCAACATGTCCGTTGAATGCGGCCCAGTGGATAGCTGTCATTCCACCCTCGTCCGTGCTTTTAAACTTGGCTTTTCTTTTGATAAGCAGCTGTACGGCCAACAGCTGCCCGGCCGCGGCAGCGCATATGAGGGGCGTCCTTCGCTCACTTCCACCGACGTCGATATTTGCTTTGTTGTTCAAAAGAAGTTCAATGACATTCAGATAGCCTCCTTCACATGCATAGTGCAGAGCCGTCATCATCGAAGCGTCTCTAGCGTCGACATCCGCGCCATAACTCACGAGCAAGCTAGCAACTTCTATATCGCCTTGCCGAGCTGCAACATGCAAGGCAGTCATTTGATTATCGGCTCGAGCATTCACCCTAGCACGGCCTTCGAGCAATAGTTGAGTGGTTTGCAGGTGCCCATTGTTGGCTGAAACCCAGAGAGCCGTCCTCCCATGTCGTGTTTCGGCCTCTAGATTGATTGCCTCCATGAGGAGCAGTGCTACGACGCCGTAGTGACCACGGGATGCTGCAAGATGGAGAGCGGTCGAGCCCGATGCGTCGGCCCGGTTCAATTGCGCATTGTTTTGGACCAACAAATCGGCAATGTCTTCCTTTCCGCAGTGACAGGCCACCATGAGGGCATTTCGCCGAGAATGGAAATGGCACTCTTCAATGTCATGGCCCATACCTATTAGCCTTTCAACATCATAGCGGGTACCTAATTGTGCTGCTTTGACAATATCAGGCGCAGTGCTACCGTTTTGTGTATTGAGATCAATACTCGTGGTATAGTCACTCTCGCGGCCACGCCGGCCTCTGGTTGATCCCAGAGAAGGGCTTACAGCCAAATTTGGAGAGGCCGGGGTAGTCAAGGTCGCCCGGCTGGACGTGTTCAGCCTTTTCAATACAGATACAAGCTTTCCTCTCTTCGAACCTCCAGAAGATGCCAGATTAGCACCGCCGCCAGTAGAAGCCCAGCGGCGCGGAGCATTTTGAACTGGCTGAGCTCCAAATGACATACTCTTGCTCCGGACATTATCGGGGTATACGGAATCATTTGGTCCTAAGGGGCTGCCTCTATAAAAGGACGAACTGGTTGTTGATACAGAGTGACTCGGCGTGAGATTGTGGCTTGCATATCCCTCATCGCTTGCCGAAGGGATTGTGCCTACAGACAACCCGCGGCGAATTCCGACATCCTTACTCGCTTCAAATTGAGGACGCGCTTGCGGCTGACGATACGCCTGGTAGGCCGGAGTCGCTAGTAAAGCCTCGTCAAAGTCAAATTCGGTTTCTCCAACAGACGATAGCTGTCGGCTGCTGATCGAACGGGAGTCGGCCTGGGAGCCTGCAGCGCTACCGATCGAGGTTCGCAAAGTCGCAGTATCATCAGCCACCTTTTTAATGATGTGACGACTTTCGACTTTTCGAAGAAGCTCTAACTGCTCGGAAGAAGATCGGCTGTGATGACCTGTCAGAGATTTTCGTTTTAAAAGGAAGATTGTTCCTCACCATTGACAAGCTTGCAATAGCAGGTTTAGGGCGCGAACCTGACTGTGCAATCGCTCTTGTAAACTGCGCATCACATCCTCGTTCCAGAGGACTTTGACTCGGGCTTTGAAGGCGAGGGCCATGGTTGGATCTGCTTGTCCACCGGGATTGATCATTTCTGCGACTTTTTCAGACAGCACTTCCATGATTGCGCGACAGCCGTCGATCGCGACGCCGAGACTTTCCTCATACTCTGCATGGCTGGAGCTGACCTCGGCATTGTACGTCGCCCAATCGTGCAACTGGGTGATGGCGGATTTGATGGTCGACAACTCGCCGATCATGGAGCGAATGGTGAGGTCAGCATTTTGGTACTTTCCTCTCAGCGCCGAAAGGCCCTGGATGGTTTGGCCGATTATCTGCACTACCTGGAGGGCTCCGGTAATCACGCCCCAGGCAGACACGGGGTCCATGGTGTGTGTGCGCGTGTGTGTACAGTGTACCGCTGGACAAGAAGTGTGGCTAAATCATTGTTTGCGCGCGATCTTTTGCCAGAAGAGCCTTGTCTACGTTCCCTCTTTTATGGATTCAGTCGATTGGATTTTGCTGGCAGAATAACCCCAGCTGTGTCGCACAGCTGAATGTTAATGGGGGCTGGAGACCTGCATATTGCGGTGGAGGCGGCCGGTGCGCAATGGGCGGCTGTGCAGCCTCACTAGCGCTCGTATATGGTGCTAGTTCGATGGTGGCTCAACTGCCCCAACTTTGGCCTTGACTGATGAGGCTGTGTATGGGTGTATAGAGAGATGAATGCTTCGGACGATTATATTTAGATAACTTTGTATATAAAATGAGATTTTACTAATACCTTGTTCTCGCTGTACCGTCTACGGTGTCAGGTGCTACATATAAATAATTGTCTCTCAATGGTAGTACATACATCAATTGACCAGTTGACGTATCTAGCATTTGAGGGCTGGTTCTAGGAAGTATACATGCACTAGATATTAGATGACAATTAATAACAGTGATATTTAATAATATAGCTATAATTTAAATTTAATACATAAAGCTTAGACTATATATATACATGTTTATGGTTTGAGAAGCCCTTGTGAGGCTACTATTGTGAGATGCAGCATCTGGTGAGCTTCAAAGGAACCATGGCCTCACGTCGCCCATTTCGCAGAGTTCTGTTATTTTTCTGGTAATTCTTTTCTATAAAAACCATTTGGTTGCTTTGAACAACGCCAAAACCGGGTTAAAACCGGACCGAGCGACACTCTATCCCCAAAGCTCGGGTCCAGCCTCCCCCTACGCATGGTATAGATGCCCCAACCAATCTAAACATTACCCAAAGACCCATAATCCTTTGCACAATAGACATATTGTTCGTGTTCATGTCCCGACGACGCCGACGATTCAGCAATACTAGTACTAGTTACAGCGATAGTGGTAGCTCGCTGAATCACGTTATCGTCCACAACCATAAACCAGCCGATATAAAGTAACCCCGGGATACTGGACAAAAATGTAATTACATTGGCCCATAATTGCCAAGTTAGAGAGACGTTGACGGCGCCTAGAACAAAGGCTAGTGTGGAGCCTAAGCCGCCAAGGCCGTTTCTATAGTAAAGGATGCGAGTTAATTTGATATACACTTTAAAGAACAACAATCCTTTCGACATGTAGTAAAAGGAGAGGGAGGGAGGTGAAGCTCACGCTAATCCAACGAATGACGATACCTGGCCTGGCTCAAGTCCTAGAGAGCCAATGATCCAGTACGCTATAACCATGCCTGAGTTTTCGATGAGGCCGTATAGGATAAACAAAAGGCATGATTTGACAAAGACGGCATCGGTGATATCGATGACTTTTTCTTGTTTATCGTATTGATATTGTACGACCAGTCCGTAGATCCCTAGCCCGTGTTAGTAGCCTGAATCATTCATTTCT